CGTGGGCCTCTTGTTGGAAGTCCAAATAAACCACAACCATTGGCCCCCTTGATCAACTCTATGAGTTTCTTCCTCAACGCATCCCAGTAGATTTATCAAACATGATTTCCCAAATGTAAATCCATTCTGAATCTGTCTGCATCTGTCACTGTTTTCCTACTGCTCTGCTATTTATAATTCTTTAGCATTTTCCTCACTACTGACCTCAGGCTGACTGGTCTATAATAAAAACAAATTGGTGGAGAAGCTTAGCAGTTCTGGCAGCATCTGTGGGGAGAAAGCAGAGTTAACATTTCAAGTCTGGTGACTAGATTGTGATGAAGAATCACCAAACTCAACATTAACTCTGCTTTCTCCCCATAGATGCTGTCAGACCTGCTGAGTTTCTCCAGCAATTTCTTGTGTTTTGGATCTCCAGCATCTGCAGTTCTTTGTTTTAGGACGAGTTTATAATTCATGGTTTTCTTTCTGCCTCCTTTCTTAAGTAGAGGACTTACAATAGCCTCCCTCTAATCTGTAGGAACTATTCCAGGTTCTTTAGAATCTTGGAAGAGGACTATGAATGCATCCACTATTTCTAGGGCCACTCCCTCATGTACTCTGTGAAAGGGTCTGATTTAGGGCCTGGGCAGCTGAAGGCATAGACAGCAATGACACTGGAGATGAAAATCAGGCCAGAATTAAAAGAAAACAGAAATTTCAGAGAGTTGCAAGTCAATCAGGAATATTGGATTCTTAAGGGACCAATGACTCAAGTTTGACATTGGAAATTGCTTACCTCATCTGCTGTATTCAAGACACTTCTTACATTGGCCTAAACTGCTTTCTACCCAGAGAAGGGTCAAGACCTTATTGCTACATTGAGAATATGCCTAACTCAAAGGGAGGCGATGGCCTAGTGGTATTATCGCTGGACTGTTAATCCAGAGACCCATATAATGTTCTGGGGACTTGGGTTTGAATCTTGCCATGGCAGATGATGGAATTTGAATTCAATAAAAAATATCTGGAATTAAGAATCTAATGACGACCATGTATCCATTCTCAATTGTCAGGGGAAAAACCCATCTGGTTCACTAGTGTCCTTTAGGGAAGGAAACTGCCATCCTTACCTGGTCTGGCCGATATGTGACTCCAAACCCACAGCAATGTGGTTGACTCTGAACTGCCCTCTGGGCAATAAATGCTGCCTAGCCAGCAACGCCAATATCCCATTAATTAAAAAAAAAACTTGGAAACTCAAAAGGGGAACGTTCTAGCCCTCATCTCCAGCATGATATAACGAAACTTACCTGTTAAGTGGTTTCTCAGGTATCCCTTTCATATTCTTCACCTAATAGAGAACTGTATGAAATGGAAAAATTCAATTATTGCCCCACCTCTTTACACATTTTCTTACTTCAAGTGTTTAACATACTGACCCTTACACTGTTTGTACGATAATCAGTAAAATTAAAAGCACACATTTTGCTTCGTGTGTATTGGAATAAAATTATATGAGCTACTTCAGCTTTACACTAAAACTGACCTTTAAGTATACTGTACTGCTTCTAAAATATTTTAAATTTACAAACTAGTTTAAAAAATGTTTTTGAATTTTCCAGTATAGCACTAAGCAGATTCCCTCTCCACCATCTAAAATTCCATTTCTTGCTTTTCATTCTAATAAGACTAAAACACAGGGACAGAAGTAGGCCATTCAGCCCAATGAGTCTGCCTGCTTTTTTTTAAAAATATATTTATTCATGGGATGAAGGGATTATTGGTTAGGCCAGCATTTCCACATTGCTTTGGGTCTGGACTCTCACATAGGCCAGATCAGGTGAGGATGGTAGTTTCCTTCCATAAATAATTTTAGAATGGATTTTTCCTAAAAGTTGACAATGGTTTCAGTCATTATTAGACTCTTAATTGCAGATTTTTATTGAATTCAAATTCCACCAACTGCCATGGCAGGATTTAAACCTGGGGCCCCAGAAAATTACCTGGGTCTCCAGATTAACAGTCCAGCGATAATACCATCAGGCCATTGCCTCCCCTCAATGAGATCATGATAATCTTCAATTCCACTTTCCTGCCTTTCTCTTGATTGATACCCATATTGTCCATCTCTGCCTTGAATGTAATGATCCAGTCTTGACAGCCATCTATAAACAGTTCCAAATATAAACTGCTGTCAGAGAAGGAATTCCTCACCTCTATCTGAAATGTGTGACCCTTATTCTGAGATTATGCTCTCTGGTTCTAGATTCTCTCAGAAAGGAGAACAACTTTCTGCATTTACCTTGTCAAGTCCGCTAAGAATCTTTTATGCTTGAATAAGGTGACCTCTCATTCTACTAAAGTTCAATGAGTATAGACCTAACCTACTCAATGTCTCCTCAAAAGATAGTCCCTCCATACCACTATCAGCTCTCTGTACGTTCCTTGGACTGCCCCGAATGCCAGTATATCCTTTCTTTAGACAAGGCGCCCAAATTGTTCACGTTATTTCAGCTATGGTCTGACTAGTGCCTTGTATAGTTTTAGCTGAACCTTCCTATTTTTATACTCCATTCTTTTTGCTTTCTTTCTTACTTGTTGAACTTTGTCACTATTTATTTGTAATTCATGCATGAGGGTTCCCAAATCCCTCTGTTGTGTAGCTTTCTGTTAAATAATATTCAGCTCCTTTATGCTACCTGCCAAAGTGCATAACCTCACATTTTTCCACATTATATTCTACCTGCCCAGTTTTATTGCCTGCTCACTTAACCTGTCTGCAGATTGTATGCAAGATTCTGAGGAGCAATTTTCCTTTTTTTTTTACAGAGCAGGAATAGTCTGGAATGTGCTGCCGGGAGTAGTGGTGGAGGCAGATACGATAGGGACGTTTAACAGACTTTTAGATAAGCACATGCATATGCAAGAAATGGAGGGATATGGACCAAGGGCAGGCAGAAGCTATTGCTTTAAATTGGCGTCATGTTAGGTGCACCATCAGGGCTGAAGGCCCTGTTCTTGTGCTGTATTGCTCTATGTTCTAATTCTTGTCACGTGCCTTCTCACTTACTTTTGTGTCATCCACAAACTTGGCTATAGCACATTCACTTTGCTCATAATATATATATGGTAAATAATTGTGGCTCCAGCACTCCACTAGTCACAGATTGCTATCCTGAAAATGCACCCGAAATCTGTTTTCTGTTAGTTAACCAATCCTCACACACTAGGGCGTCTCTACAGGATTGTAGCAGAACTCCAAGCGGTTTTCAACGCCACAGTAAGGATATTGAGAGATGACAGAAGAATCTGCTTTTCTTAACCAGTCTGGCCTACAAGTGACTCCAGACCCATACCAATGGAGTTAACTCTTAACTGCCCTTTGAAATGGCCAAATAAGCCACTCAATTCATAGCATTTTGGGCTTGGGTAACAAACATTGGCTTTGCCAGTTACACCCACATTCTATAAAAGAAAAACCCAGCAGGTTGGCTTCAGAACCTTCTGGACTCCAAATTGATTTTAGCAACTTTAGATCTACTTATTTCAGACAGCAACTGCTGATAATAGTTTTATTGATATTTACAGCTCCTTTAAATGTACTGTTTCTTGTCCCGTTTTATCTCCTTTTTGCCTCATGTTTGTTTTTGTGATTTGAACATTCCAATTCAATACCTATCAGAGACCTTTTGTTTCTCCCTCCCCTTCCCTGTCTCAGTAGTAGTGGCATTGTTAACATGATCCAGTTCTAATGAAAGGTTATTAATCTGAAATATTAACTGTTTCACCCTTCGGTAGCTGGCTGATCCGCTAAGCATCTCAGGTTTCCAGCATCTGGGGCAGTTTTCCATGGGATGAGGGCTAATGTTGGTGCAGACATTAACACAGACTGTTTGGGGGCGAACAGATATTTCTGTCTTACTTTTATGTAATCAGAATTACAATATAGCACTCCTTCAAAACGAGGATAAATTATAAAATTCATTGGATGTGGTTGCCTCACAAATGGAAAAGAGTGTGAGCTGGGAAATAGATTTCTCAGTTACATTGGATATTTTCCCCACCTCCATCCCTATCCTCTCACAAAACTGTTGAACTTTGTTGTGTCTCACAGAACCTGGATACTCTTCAATTCTTGCCAAGGAGGCCACTCTTAACTTATAAATACATGAGTATTGCCAGTCCATTCACTGCAAAGACCAATTCCAGTCCTTGTTATTCACATATGACAGCACCACTCACTATAGATTGAGCAGATAGCCTAACTGTTTTTGTTCTTTCTCTAGCCAGCGTGTTGAGTTTGAGTACCCTTTGCTGTTTCTTTAAATACGTACTATTTCAATTGTTCTTTTGCAAAAGGTTTCAGAATGTATCAGTCTTGAAATCCTTGAGGTGTAAGCATAGTTCTACTTATATACAATTCGAGAGATAAAAGATATGAAATTAAGTTTTTCTAAGCCTCAAGAAGATGGCCACATTCAGCCATGTTTCAGTCAGCTCCTGGTCTCTCACCACACATATTCTTATTTGTAAACTGAATTCCACATTCTACTATTAAGCATTAACTAGGTTTGATGGCTCCTTGTTGGGCACAGTAATAAATAAAAATCAAGGGTAACAGAAACTTAAAGAATTCCTGTTTCAGATTGCTACTCCTTGAGCAATTAGTGATTTCTTCTTTAGCAGCACAGCACTTTTCCACAATATAACACCTTGATCCATCACCATTTACTGCCTTTCTACACTCTGGCCCACAACATCTGTTCTTTTAGATCTTAAATACTATGCATTCTCACTTCCCTTTGGTTTTGGATTGGTCTAATCGGATATGTTCCTGGACACTTCACCACATGACCTGCTATCTTAATTGCCCCAAACAGTCCTGACATCAGTTATCCCAATGTCTTCCAAAGGCCACTCAAAAAGGGAATACCAAATAGATAATGCTTCACTTAACAGTTAACCAGTCTTTAGTTCCCCCATCTCAGATTTAATTTCAATATAACAGGTAAACAAAAGAGTTTAAAGATTGTTTTTATTTAAAAATACTTTTGTAAAATGTCCCTATGATTTGTCTTCTGGTTTTTGCTCGCAGTGTCCTGAAGGTCAGTCTTCAAATCCTGGAGACTCCAGGGCAATCCTGGAGCGTTGGCAACCCTGCGACCTAGCTAGTCACTTCTTTGGTCTCATCCATAATCACATTGCCTCACTCTTCCTCCAATTCCCACTCACTACTTGATTTCCTCCTTAAAAAAAAAGAGACAGATCACCAAGTTGAATGCACAAGCACAAGGGCTCAGCAATATGTTGAACGGTCAACATGCATTACTTGATAGGATGCAGCTTCAGTCTCCTAATACACTCAGACCTGTCAACCATGTCTACAAAAACATACAGGTCCTTTTTTTTTAATAAACACAGGTACAAGAGCAAAAAGTAGGTTCTAGGCCTCAGTTGGGAGTACTAGGTCAATTCTTGGCATTATTCTTTGGGAAGAATGCATAATGTCAAGGCATCAGACAGGTGCAGGGATTTACCAGAATGATACAGGGATATGTTCGGTTGGGGTAAAAAAAAAATCACTTTGGGTTTATTTGAGGAAACTGGGGAACCTGGTGTTGTTTCCCCATAGACTGAAGATGATTAAGGGGAGACTGATAAAGGCATTCAATATCATGAAAGTCTTTGATACATACATAAGGTGAAACAGTTTCCGATTGTAGTTGGGTCAGTAACCAGAAATGCACAGATTTAATGTAATTGGCAGAAGAAGCAGAGAGGAGATGATAATACATTTTCTGATGCATTGAGTTGCGATCTTAAATGTGTTACCTGGAAGAAGTTCAATTACTCTCAAAAAGGAGCTGGATAAGTATTTGGAAGGAAAATGTACATTTTTGGGGAAAGGGAAGGTGGAGTAGGACACATTAGATAGCGCTTTCAAAGAACAGGCATCCTGAGATAACAGCATTTTTTTGCTATATGTTTCTATAAATTGTCTATGATTTTAAGCCACCAAGGGTGAGTCTGGGCTACTTTCAAGCCAAGTTTGGCACATTTTACTAATTGATTCACACGTTGCCATCACAACTATTAAGCACAAATATTCACTATGTGAATTATTTAATTAACAGTAAGCTTAAACCGAATCAACTAAATCAGCAAAGATACTATAGTACACCCTGACCCATGCTGAGGAAGGACTAACAATTAGTAGTTGTGATTTCCACAACTGGACTTTTTCTTGACAATTACATAGTGACTTTAAAATTAGGACAATAACTTTTTAAATAAACTTAAGTGCAGCTAATTTCATGCCTATTTAAGAGCAGTGGCATCACTGCCAAATTAAATGTTATTTTCACCCAAGGTTTAGATACAAAGTGACAACTCCAGCTGTGTGAATGACACAAAGATTTATTTTGCTTATATGACACAAAGATTTATTTTGCTTATAACTGCCGTGTCCTCTTCTTGCGTGGGTTGTGTTTTTCTCAGTTCTCCCATTGAATATTTTCCCCATTTATGCACCCCATTAAAATTTAGTTTCAGAGTTCTGGATTCATCTTTTACCTCTAATAAAAGAGATCCTCAAAAAAATTGCCTCCTTCTCAAGGCTGATGCCAGGCCTCAGGAATTCAGCAGCCATTGAATCTCTGCCCAGCAGTCTCACGAACCAGCCTGAAAATTGCCATGTAACAAAGGGAGGAGGAAAAATCCCTATGAAATCATAGCACTTTGAAGTAGAAAGCAAGTTAGCTTTTAATAGATTTACTCATTAAAACAAATTTACTTCTCAAGAAAGCTTCAACAATTACTTCCATAGTTACACTGGTAAATGCAACAGGACTCCCTAGCCTGTGAGCCAGGAATAACTGGTGCATGATAGAAAAATACTTGCTGTACGACATTTGTTTAAAAGTTTACTTTATTGGTGAAAGTAAAGAAACAGATTATTCAATAACCGACAGTAACAACCATTTCTGTTTCTTTCCCTCTTAAACTTTATAGTGTTTCTCAAGTATTGCTGATCAAAGTGGAAAAGTGCCACCAACTGTGGAACTACATTAAAACTATGAAAAACAAGCAAGGTCCCTCCTATCCTACCTTCTCCCCTCTCTGTCTGGTGTTTTTTTTTTGGACAGTCTGGAGTAGGCAGGGAAATGGAAAGGTAATTAAGAGAGGTTGAAGGATGCAGAGAGGGAAGACCTACCCTTCCCAGCCTCAACAGCTTGTTTTGCATAGTTTCCCTTACTCTATTTCCTTTCTCCCTCCTTCCCCACCCCACTCTTCCCCAAGCAACCATTTAAAAGGCAAACATCCTTTGGAGCACCTTTAGAATCAGAGGCACAGAACAGACCATTTACAAACACCAGTTTTAGAACAGTCGAGAGTTTTTACAGAATTAAAGATAAATGGAATGCTCAATTTTGTTTTCGGACTGGGATTATGTTTCCTGCATAATCCTCTGCACTTTGAGAAAACAAACATTTAGTCCATATCACCGTACAGAGTTTATACAACTTGTGTGAGAACAGAAATTGTGTTGAACATTCATTTACTAGAGTTTAAGGCAAGTGGTTCATTTGTTTGCCAAGTTTTTAAAAAGAAAAATGGAAAGACTGTACAAACCATTGGTTTGAGCTGAACACGATTACATTAAAAAGTTGTACATAATCTGCACTCTTAAAAAAAGTAATGTTTAGCTAACTAGGCTGAGTATGTGCCTCTTACATTGATTCATAGGATGGATACATAGCACGTAACAAACACACATTCTCTCACTCAGTGTACTACGGCCATAGTATTCTATCTCCCTCATCCGGCTCCCTCTCACTTCACTGAAATCAGCCAACATCATTGTAAATCTGCACCTTTTATTGCCATCATACAGTCACAGTACTGATGCTTCAGAGGAAAAACAATACAATGACCCTGTAGGTTGGTTTTTGTAGTCCCTTAAGATTACAAAGGCATGCTCAAACTCTCTCATACACAGTCCAACACACACAGCAGCATGAGAAATGCTGGGAAGTTTGTTTTGATTGCAATACTACATGTGAGTAAATCACAGAGGTAAGAAGATTTTGAAACCATGTTAGTTTCTTTAACCAGTGCGAGTTACTACTTAAACAAATGAAAGAAGATTAGATTAAATCATATGGAGTGGTTTGGAAATTACCATTCCATAATGCTAAAAGCTTGATTAACGCGCAAATGTTTGAAGCTTAGCAGGTACAGTGCGTGTTTCAAAACAGAAAGCTAATTCAATTTCCATTCTTACTACGTTGTGGTGCATGGAAAGGTGCTTGAGAGGAAAAAGAACAAATGCAGATTATATTAACATGTTGTGAAGTTACAGTACTCTGCTGTGGAACAGAAAATATTTGCAACAGGGTTAAAAAGATAACCTTTAAAACCTTTTTTTTAAAAAAGGAAAGGGGCACTTGCAAATACCACATTTAAAGGTTTTAAAGCACACAAAAAAGCTTCTTAAAAAATAATTGTAGAGCAATTCTGCAGTGCCCGGCCTGTCCTCCAAAATGATTATGTCCCGATTTGGGGGGAAATCGTTAACATTTTTAAAATGGTAGACACATAGTCATGAGGAATAGTTTTAAACAACTTTGGGTCAAACTCTTAATGTGCGTGAGCAGCATCTACTGAAATAGAAATGACCCTAAAACAAGAGAGAATAAAAAGCAATGACTACATCTGACCTATAGGATCAGTCAGGCTCATTATTGCAAGGGCAGTTTCATAGTAAATATTCCTAGATACATAATAAACAAGTCCAGGAAAATTAAGAAAATATGGATAATGCAAATTGCTTTCTGATGAACAAAGGGTGAGTGAATCTCTTGGTTTCATTTGTTCAATAAACTTTTCCTCACAGATGTCTGGAACAATAGATGGCCATCCACACTTGGCACTGATTACTGAAAGCTAATTACCTCACTGCCGCAGACTGATCCTGGGCTTTATCCTATTCAACTCCATCAACTGTGACTCAGATATACAGCAAGCAAATTCTAAACGTCATGGTCCATTCTCGCTCTTCTCAATTAGCTATTCTCCCTCTCATATTTACCATATTGTATTCAAATATTTAATTCCTTTTGTTACTTCCTCACTGGGTTTGTCTGCTGTATCTTTGCTGGGTTAAAGTCTCACACATAACCAGTTACCTGGTCACTATCCCAAACGAATGGGTGTGAACATCAACAATGATGACTAATAAGCTATTTCCACTATACAGAGCAATGAAGGTGACATCAATCTTGGGCATACCGGTTGAAGGATAAGCTTTCCCTGGCTTGTATAGGATGATGGAATTTGGGTGTCCTCTCCCCACCCCTCAAAAATAATTTAGGCAGAGCCGGAATACCCCAATGCTTCACGTGAGTAATGCAGAAGTCAGCCAAAACTCCACCAAGTTCTTCTTTAAAGAGTCAGTTAGAACTCTAGGTAATCCCAGGAAAGGACATGACAAACCCTAGTGGGGCAAACAAAGGTTCAACAGGTTTGACAATATTCTTCATTTTCTCCCATTTGCTGAAAATATTAACTAGTTCAAAATAAATGGAACAGCAGATTGCTGAAGGACCAAAAAAACAGCACGCAAACTGGATTTAACTGTTCACAGGCCAATCTTGGACAGGGTGGGGCTTGCAATGAGGAGCAGTCAGCCTGCAGATCGATCAGATGTACAAGCAACAAAAAGCAGAATGAAACCCCCAGAATATAGGAGGCTTATGATGTAAAAATGAAGAAATTTTGATAGGAGTGCATCAGAAGAAACTGTTACCATTGCCAAGGAGAATAGTAACTAGAGAGTGTAGATTTACAGTAATTGACAAAAAGAACTTGAGGGGCAGGAGTTTTTACTTAATTACACAGTATTATTATGATCTATAAAGTGCTGTCTGTAAAGTTGAGGAGACACATTTAATAATAACTTTCGTAAGGGAATAGATAAGTAAACCAGACGATAAATTTAGAAGGATATGTGGAACAACAGGGAACAGGTCTAAGTAGATACATCTTAAGTCTTGGCAAGAGAGTCCAAACAGACTTACATGCTGTATGAATTTGTAATCTTTGTTATTCTAAGCTACCAGAAGCAGATCGGTGGCATCAGTAATTACAAAACTACAAAACAACAAAACAAATGCATGGACAGATCTTCACGTAATTCACACATTTTGAGGGAGGATACGGACTGGAACGTTTCCCACTCACTGTTGAGATGGATTTGCTTCAACAACCCACGAGCTGGTCATAAGCCAAGCTATTCCTTGTTTGCCTCAACAATACTCTGCAGCACCAACCATTATCTGGACATTTGTAGATTTCCAACAGAAGTACAGCTGTGCTGTGGCACTTGGTAAACAAAAATGCCTCAATGCACTTCACACTGGGGTTTTACTGGTTCAATGATGGAAGATTTTGCCCATCCAGGTAAGATTCAAGTGGGGTCCAGTGGGTGACCAAACATCCTCTAACCTATTGTATTAGGTTATATTTTATCACAAACTCAAAACCACTGCCAATAACAAGAATACATATTCCTCTTAGCTATGTAAAAATCTGAAATTAAAACAGCTGGATTCAAGAATTTAACTTACCAAAGAAACATGAAACTGGCAACAGTTGGTATTCCCTCCTAACAAATTTGCTAAAATAATTATCTTAAGGAAGCAAAGATTGCTATCAATAAGTTTCACATGCAAATTGCTTCAATGCTACCACCCAAGTGGGAAATTTAGAAGTGATACATTCACTTCACAGACTACACACCATTTGTTGTTTTCAATCTTCTCTGGCCAAAGACAGCACTAGCTGTTATTCCACAAGATTCTCCTAACTTACCCAAAGTGGCCATTCTTCTTGTATCCTCCCATATTTTGAGTGTACTGGCCAGCCTATACCAGTATTATTGTCCAACTCTATCCTGTCCTCTCGCCTATCCCAACATCCATTTCCAGAGAAAGTCATTGGGTAGTAAATTTGATTTTGTTTTTCGTCCTCCATCCTGCCCCAATTGCTCTTCCCTAGAACTACCGTCAGTTCAACAAATAAAATCAATACAATAAGAGCCACCATCTTTGTGCTGGACCAATAAGAAAGATAGCAGGATACCCTTTACTGGCAAACAAGCAAGCAAATGGCCAAGGACAAAAAACTGGCCAAATAAAAAAAAAAGTTAGTTCTGATGGAAGTTCATTGACCTAAAACATCACTGTTTTTCTCCACAGATGCTGCCTGAACTACCGAGCCTGTTTGTGACTTGACTGTGAAAGCTATGCTCACTCCTGACTTAACATTTCATTTCTGTGCTAACACCATCTCCAGTCACTAACACAACTGACAAAAGTCACATTTACCAACAATGTGGACAATTTGGAATTTGGCCATTCTGAGTATGCATATGGACACATGCTCAGCATCTGTTGGAGACTAACATAGAGGAAATTCCACTGTTCCCTAATGAAAATCCAAGAAGATGCTTTTCTTCCTCAAGGTGACAACAGTGGCCTGCTGCCAGAGAGCTACCTTTAAAGAGAAGTCAGAATTGAAACAGGTAGGACAGAAGTTAAGTATAAAAGGGAAAATAAAATAACTTTGAAAATTTAGTTGAAAACCTTAGCCCATCAACATGCTGCATCAGTACTCACAGACTGTGGAGTGAGACACCCAGTTTTCGAATGAGACCCCCAACATCCAGTGAAAGACAGTGAGAGAAAGGAAGCCACTAGTAAGATTTAGGATTAGACAAAGCATTTGAGGTAACAAAAGATAGACAGACACATTCACAATATAAATCCAAGCATATCACTGTTGCCATTTGCGATGAATTGAGATTGCTTCATGGAGATAGCAGATAAAGTTTGAAATAAACAGAACAGTAACATTATTTGCAAAGATTGCATCTTAAATGCCCCAAAATTTCCACCGTTCTATGCAGCTCACGTGTGATACCTTCTCTCCCTTACCCCACCTTCTCTGCTCACTCTGTCCCTGTGCCTGCTTCCCTTCACTACACCCACTGCCAATGTCTGTGGTGTGGTCAGACAACCCTTTATGCACAGAACACGCTGGCAGAAACCCATCAGCAAAATCCAAGGCGAGACTCATCCAACACCACTCCCTGCAACTTGTTGCCGTGTTGATAGCGTGAATGCTGAAGTGGAGGAATTCAGTTAAATCAACACTCCAGCTACAGACACAGGACCCCCATCGAGCTTCAGAAAACCTTTTTGGCATTCTATTTAAATTACAAGATGGGGAACAAGATGGCGTACAACATGTGGTGGGAGAAAGAAAATAAAAAGTATCCATCACAGTATCTGGCAGCACCATGTCATTCCCCAGAGTACCTGGTGGATCTGATAATAATTCCAGCTTGCAATCCTTATCAAGTCAGACTGCAGTGGCTGTTTTTTAAGTGACATTGGTAACCCTAAGCTATCTCTATATTTAAAATAGTAATTTTAAAAAAAATCATAATTCGGTGCCCATTAACTATTGTTAAGCCAATTGATATAAAATTTAAAAGTTTAATGACTCTGGAGACTTATACCCAGCACTTATAATTCAACGTGTTCAGCATAAATAACAGTGCTCATAAAGATTTTTTGTTTTAAAACATACAGTCATTAAAAGATAAAAGATCTCTGGAATATGCAGTGTACAAAAAAATTAATTTTGCTTTTTTTCTCGTCTAAAATTATCAACTTTTTTTCTTCAAAAAGGCACTTCATTCTGCAAAAGTGAGATCACAGAATCAGGTCAGCTACTGTAGGTCAGCGTGACTGTCTGCATAGCAACAACCAAAAAAAATTAACAAAGGAGGGAACAAAATACTTAAAATATCACAGAACTGCCCAAATACTTGTTTTTTGGTAGGTAGAGAGAAGGAAAAGTTTTCTACTCAAACTGTAGTCCATAACAAATTTTCCGTTTTGTTTTTCTATGTCTGTGATTTACTCTGATAGTTCTTCCTTTTAAATGAAGTCTGGTCATGTGCGACTTTCTGACATCAGGCTTTGAGAAGCTCAATGGACGTCAATCACCTTGTCCATAACGAGTTAACGGCAGGAACCACTGACGTGCTTCTTGTCTGATGATACCTCCCTTCTGCTCCTCCTCCAGAAGTTGCAGTTTCGATCCAAATACAGGTACGCGAGGCAGGGGAAACTGAAGGAAGCTTTCCTTTCGTTACAAAAAACAGAAACACAAAGCTGCGAAGGGGGGGGGGGGGGGGGGATGTGGCATGGGTGTAGACTGGGAAAGTGAAGGGGGATGGGATAAAAATCGGGCAAGAACAACGTAAGAATCTGCCAAGACGACATGCCCGGAGCACAATCGCTACCTGCCGCGGAGGTTCTGCAGCATACTGTAAATATCCTCTTCTTTACTCAGTCCTTCAAAGAATGGAATCAGATCAAACAACTCCGTGTCCGACATGTCATCAAACCAGGACTGCACAGGCACCTATTTTAACAAGAAATGTAGACACATTTTGTTAGCAAACGGTGAAGTCTACTAGATGGAAAACTTTGACAAGGCTGTGCAGAGGGAGGGTTTTTTAAAAAACAGACTAGTTTGAGATGTGGGAGACAATGGCAAAAGTAGCAATCATTGCCCATTATTAACTGCCCTTTAAGGCAGTAGTGAGATCTAGTTTGTGTGGTGAAAATGCGACCATGATCCATCAACATTAAAGAACTCAGTAAGGTACAACCAATGCAGAGTAATGTGTTGAGATTTGGAGGAGAGACTGGAGGTAATGGTGCTGCTCTAGTCTTTCCAGGTGGTGGAGAAATATGGTGCGTAGACCGGTGCCCCTGCTCCAATGTGGCTCTATAGACACCTGTTCAAGAATCCTAACATGCCAGCTGAACTTCTATCTTACCCCCACCTAAAACAACCTACTTTCTAACAAATATCACCAAATGGCATGTAGGAACTTTTCTCTTTAGTCCCTCAATCCTAGAATGTCAAGACCAAAAGCAGAATCTGGACTGCCTAACCCCTACTTGATGAACTGAATCAGCACAGGCCAACAAGTGCGAATAGAAAGGCTCACTTATAAATGGCATAGAAGCACCTTGAGAGAAGCTTTTAAATAAAATTATCAATAAAAACATCAGGGCTACAAGTTATGCACACTGTATAAAGCTTTACTTAGACTGCACCTGAGTTGTGTTCTCAGTTCTGGACACCACATCTTACCCAGTGGCCTTGGAGCTAATGATATTGGGATCTAAATACTGCATAAACTAGGCTGGTATTCCCTTGATTTTAGAAAATTAAGGGTGATTTAACTGCCTAAGAGGATCAAAAGAAATAGATAGATGGAATTAAAATACAGGTCAACAATGATCTTCTGAAAAGACAGAATAGCCTGAAAGAGCTGAATGGCCAACTCTTACTACTATGTTTCTAATGCATCCAGAATTCTTCCAAACCAGAGCTTGTTTTTACATACTAAAACATGCTTTGCTCTCTTGAACTTAATGCAGTGGTCCGATTTCCTAAGACCACGAAAGACTGATAATCCAAAAGCTTGTTATTTTAAATAAACATGTTAGACTATCACCTGGTGTCATGTGACTTTTGACACCAGCATTTTCACACCAGGGCAGGAGGAAGCCATTCTGCCCACATGTCTGCACTAGCTCTTTAAGTGCTACATATTTGTGCCACTATTGCCTTTTCCCCATACCCAAGGTCCACTAAAAACCTCTATTTCCTTTATTCAACTAACAAATTGCCTGCACAGACAACTTTGTGGAGCAACAGATTTAGTTTTGATGCATTTGAAGTAGTGAGATCTATATTGTTCTCTTCTGTGCGCTGGCAAATAGGTTGGTAAGCAGGGCTGAATATAACTGGCACAATTCGAGGCAAAACAAGATATTTTTTCCGACAGAAACTCAGCAGGTCTGGCAGCATTTGTGGAGAGAAAGCAGTGTTAATGTTTCAAGTCCAGTGACCCTTCTTCACTGTTAAATTCAAGATTGTTATGGAAAAGGACAGAAAAGGCCTGAATCAAAGTTCTAAAATGGGGGAAGGCCGATTTCAATGAGTTCAAATATGATTTGGCCAGAGTGGACTGGGAGGACATACTTTTAGGTAAATCTAAATCAAAGCAGTGGAACACATTCAAGGAGGAAACAGACAAAGTGCAGGGTCAACATGTTTTAATAAAGACAAAGGATGGGACCAACAAATCCAACAAACCCTGGATATCAAGGGACATACAGGATTGAATGAGAAAAAAGGAGCTTATAGCAGACAGAGGGCTCAAAACTGCAGAAGCCTTAGAGGAGTACAGAATGTGCAAGGGGAAATTTAAGAAGGAAATTAAGACAGCAAGAAGTGGCACAAAGCAATAACGGCAGATAAAATAAAGGAAAAGCCTAAGTTATTTTACAAGACTATTAATGACGACTAGGGAAAGAGTATGGTCCATTAAGGACAACAATATAATTCATGGAGCCAGAAAATACGGGTGGGGTCCTAAGTGAATACTTTGTGTCAGTGTTCACTCATGAGAGGGATGATGTGGGTATAGAAAACTGGGACAGGACTCTAATATATTTAAAGAAATTAGCAGAGAGAGGTGGTTCTGAGTGGTCTGGCAGGCTTAAAAAGTAGGTAAATCTCCACGGCCAGATGAAATGTATACAAAACTCTTGAATGGGGCAAGGGAAAGAAATAGCAGGAGTTTTGGCAATAATTTTCAATTTCCCCGGCCACTGGAGAAGTGGCACAGAACTGGAGGACAGCTAACTTGGTACCGTTTTTCAAGAAGATAAACCTGAAAACTATAGGCTAGTCAGTCTAACCTCAATGGTGGGGAAACTACTGGAAGTAGTATTGAGACAGAATTAATCTGAGAGGCAGGAATTAATCAAGAACAGTCAGCATGGCTTTTGTTAAGGGAAAGATCATATCTGACCAACTTGATTGTAATTTTTGTAGGGGTGACCAGGTGTGAAGGTGAGGGCAATGCATTCGACATACCCTACTTGAACGTCAGCAAGGCTTTTGATAAGGTCATGTGTTGGAAACTGACAGCGAAGATTAAAGCCCATGGGATCCAAGGAATTTTTGCAAACTGTATCCACAATCGGCTGATTGGCAGGAAACAGAAGGTGATAGTCGAGTGGTGCTTTTGTGACTGGAAATACGTGTCCACTGGAGTTCTGCAGGGATCAGTGTTGGGGCCCTTGCTGTTTGCGATATGTAGGCACAGTGGTTAGCGCTGCTGCCTTACAGCGCCAGGGACCTGGGTTCGATTCCAGCCTCAGGTGACTGTCTGTGTGGAGTTTGCACATTCTCCCCGTGCCTGCGTGGGTTTCCTCTGGGTGCTCCAGTTTCCTTCCATAGTCCAAAGATGTGCAGGTTGGGTGGATTAGCTGTGGGAAATTGCCCATAGTGTCCAGGGAGTACAGTCTGGGTGGGTCAGCCATGGGAAAGAAAAATGCAGGGATACAGGGATAGGGTAGGGGTGTGGGTCGGATGCTCTTTGAAGGGGCGGTGTGGACTCGATGAGCCAAATGGCCTGCTTCCACACAACAGGGATTCTATGATTCTATATATATATATTAATGATATAGACTTGAATGCAAGAGGGGTGTTCAGTATGGTATGAGAATTGGTGTGATGGTAAATAACGAGAGTGTATCATTAGACTACAGGAAGATATAGATAGACTGGTCAGATGGGCTTATCAGTGGCAAATGGAATTAACTCTGGATAACTATGAGGTGATGTACTTGGACAGGACAAACAAGATAGGGAATACATGATGAAGGGTAGGACGCTGGAAAGCATAGAAGATCAGAGGGACCTTGGTATGCAAGTCCACCATCCCTTAAGGTAGAGGGATAGATAGATAAAGTGGTTAAGAAGATAGCTGTAGCACTGAATCCTGTACTCTGTTCTGTTACCCTGATGCATGTGAAACAACTCTTCATTGTACCTTAGTATACGTTACAGTAATAAATCAAATCAAATATGGAACGCTTACCCTCATTAACCAAGGCATGGAGTGTAAGAACAGGGAAGTTAATGCAGGAATTGTATAAAAAATTAGATAGATTACAGCTCCAGTATCGTGTGGCAGTTCTGGAATCATGTTGTACGAGGAATGTGATAGCACTGAAGAGTGCAAAGGAGATTTACCACGATTTTGCCTAGGCTGGAGAGTTTTAGTTATGAAGACAACTTGGAAAGACTGGGGTTGATTTCATTGGAACAGAGGAGACTGAGAGGGGACATGATTGCGATGTACAAAATTATGAAAGGCACAGACTGGGGTAAGCAGGAAGAAACTTCTCCCTTTGATGGAGAGATCAATGACCAGGTGTCGCAGATTGAAGATTTAGAGGGGATAAGGAAATAAAGTTTTAACCCAGAGGGTGGTGGGAATCTGAAACTCTCTGCCCTGTACGGGTGACTTTTAGTAGTATTTAGACGTATACTTGCAATACCAAGCCATACAAGGCGAGGACGAAGTGCTGGAAAAGAGATTAGAACAGTTAGGTGGCTGTTTCTGACCAGTGCAGACATGATCAGTTGAAGGGCCTTTCTCTGTTCTGTAGACCTCAATGACTCAATATATTGTTTAGAGGATAGCAATAATCAGCATTTGATGTAGTCTACTTAGATTTTAGCAAAGCTTTGAAATTCCCACAAGGCAAACTGTCAGACAATTGAAAGCTTATAGGTTCCAGTGAAAATTGATGAGAGATCCAAAATTTGTTTAAATACAGAAAACTATCAAGTTGAATTTCCATAGGGTTCTAGATTTTCCTGTTATTTTGGTAAACTTCAATGATTTAGACTTAAATATAGGTAGCATGATTAAAAATTTGCACGAGATGAAAACTAGCCACGTGGTTCATAACAAGGAACAGCGGCAAGATATCAATGGACTGGTCAGCAAGGCAGTAAGTTGCAAATGGAATTCAGTCCAGAGAATTCTGAGCTAATGTAATGGAAAGGGTAGACAAGACAAGTAAATACACAATACACAAGTGTAGAGGAAAGTAGGGATCTTGGTGGTGTACATATATCTGAAGATGGCAGGACAGTTTTGTTGGTGCAGGCTTGGATGGCCGAAAGGCCTGTTCCTGTACTTTAATTTTCTTTGTTCTTGACAGGTTGGTAAGGTGTGTAAGTAAGAAAGCACACAGTATTTTTTTCATCATAGCCAAGGTAGAAAATGCAAGAGGAGAGGGAGGTCATGCTGGACCTATATAAATTAGTAGTTAGACCACAGTGAGAGTATTGTGTACAGTTAAGGGTCAAAATAATTTTTAAAAAGGACAGTTCTTTGAGATTTTCAAGGACAATCTTGGTTCTCAGGGACTCCTCTTTGATTCTCACTAACTCCTTTATTAGGTTGATGCAGTCATAGAGTAACATCACCTTTTATACTGGCATTGACATGCAGCATTTGGACTCACACAAAAGCAGAA